GGGGTCGGTGGTGGTGCAGTAGCCGGGATGCTGGGGAAGCCCTGGCAGGAGCAGGGGGGAGGAGCTTGCTGAGAAATGAGTTTGTTAAAGTGGGTTCTGTCAGTGACCCCACTACTGCAATGCAAATGAGAAGAACGTTGGGGTTCCTGAGCATGCCTCATGAAAACCCCATTCACGATCGCTTCTAACGTTCCCACACTGGGACTGCCGGGGATGAACTTTCCATGCTCGGGCTCTGCCTTGGGTTGAATGTTTTTGTAAACTTTCAGCAAAAACGAGTTGAGGCATTTCTGAGAACACGGTTAGCATTAACACAGGTAGTTTTTTCCAGGGCAATCCATTTTCCTGACCTTTTCTTTGACGAACTCTAGCGCCTCCATGCTTTGGAGCCTGAGACTGAAATTTGGCAGGGGGATTGTGCTAGGGGAAGGGAAGTGTTTTGCCTGTTGCCATGAAAATCTATGTCGATCTGGCTAGGTTATAAAGTACAGAACATTGCCATTTGCACCTGGTCAATAGAGCGTCTCAGACTTGTTTCCGAGTCACTGACAACTTGGAAGAAAATGATCTTGAATGGTTATGGATCCCTGTCTTAACTGATACAGCACAAGATGGGGGGTTAGCTGGTGTCTGGGGCAGATCACCAAATCACACTAAGGAACAGGATGAAAAGCTTCTTATGCAGCTCTTTATAGAGTGTAGGAAAAAAAGCTGTGTGATCCTGGGGGATTTCAATGTGAGTGACACATGTTGATGGTGTGAAGCTACTAGTACTAAAACATCCTTGGAATTTCTCATAGATGACATTTTCCTAACTCAAAAGTGTTGCATAGCCATGGAAGTGATCTATATGAACCCTTGCCTTGAGAGATTAGAGGAACTGATCACAGAACTAAAAGTGAACGGTAGCCTAGGTACAAGTGATCATTACTCAATCACATTTATAATGTGCCAAGAGAGTAAAGTCCAGACCAGTAATATTTCTACTTGGTGCTTTGAAAGGGCCTATTTCACAAAACTGAAAACAATTATGAGCCAAGACGGCTGGGAGGAAGAATTAAATCAGAAAAATGTGAATGATAATTGGAAATTGTTTAAGAACACTTTACTAGATGCCCCAAAAGCCACAATCAAGGAAAGCAGCAATACTGGTTTAAAAACTGACCTGACTTAGAGGGCACATAAAGGCAACCATGATGAATAAAAATGATGTATAACAAATGGAAGAAAGGAGATGTTGACAGTAATGAATATAAATCAGAAGCTAGGAATTGTAGAAAATTGATAAGGGAAGCAAAGGGATACAAGAAAAAATCTATGGCAAGTCGAACTAAGCACAATAAGAAGGAATTTTAAAATTATATGAGAAAAAATATGAATCCTAACAATGATATTGGTCCATTACTAGATGAAGTAGTAGAATTATTAATAACAATGCAGAAAACGATGAAGTGTTCAATAAATTTTTCTGTTCTGCATTTGGGAAAAAACAGATGATGTCATCATATCATAGGAACATGATAACACTCTTTCTATTCTACTTGTATCTGTGGAGAATGTTAAACAACAGCTATCAAAGTTAGACATTTTTAAAGCATCAAGTCCAGATATCTTACATCCTAGAGCTTTAAAAAGCTGGCTGAAGAACTCGCTGGACCATTAATAGAGCTTTTCAGTAAGTCAAACACTGGGGAAGTTCCAGAAGACTGAAAGAAAGCTATTGTTATGCCAATACTTAAAAAGGGTAAATGGGATGACCTGGGTAATTATAGGCCTGTCCGTCTGACATTGATCCCTAGCACAATAATGGAGTGGCTGATAAGGGACTTAATTAATAAAGAATTAAAAGAATGTGATATAATCAATGCCAATTAGCATAGGCTTATGTAAAACAGATCTTGTCAAACTAATTTGATATCTTTTTTATGAGATTACAAGTTTGTTTGATAAAGGTAATAGTGTCAATGTAATATACTGAGATTTCTGTAAAACATGTGACTTGACGCCACACAGCATTTTGATTAAAAAACTAAACTGATACAAAATTAACACATTAAATGGATTAAAAACTGGCTAACTGATAGGTCTCAAAATGTAACTGTAAGTGGGGAATCATCATTGAACGGATGAGTTTCCAGGGGGTCCTGCAGGGATCGGTTCTTGGACCAACACTATTTAACATTTTTATCAATGACCTGGAAGAAAACCTAAAATCATCACTAGTAAAGCTTGCAGACCACAAAAAATTGGAGGAGTGGGACACTGATACAGAATTCTATCTTGGCAAGCTGGGCACAGGCAAACAATATGTGTTTCAGTGTAGCTCAGTGAAAATTTACACATCTAGACACAAAGCACGTAGGCCATACTAACAGGATGGGGGACTCTATTCTGGGAATTGATGACTCTGAAAGAGATTTGGGGGGGTGTAAAAAGCAACAGAGGGTCACTTGCATCTGAAGAAGTGAGGTTCTTACCCACGAAAGCTTATGCTCCCAATACTTCTGTTAGTCTTAAAGGTGCCACAGGACCCTCTGTTGCTTTTTACAGATTCAGACTAACATGGCTACCCCTCTGATACTTGGGGGGGTATGTGGATAAACAGCTGAACATGACCTCCCAATGCAATGCTGTGGCCCAAAGGGTTAATGTGATCCTTGGATGCATAAACAGGAGAATCTGGAGTAGGAGCAGAGAGGTTATTTTATCTCTGTACAGTATTTGGCACTGGTGCGACCACTGCTGGTGTCATTCATTCAAGAAGGATGTTCATCGTTCAAGAAAGATGTGGATAAATTGGAGAGTGTTCAGAGAAGAGCCACGAGAATGACTAAAGGATTAGAAACATGCGTTATAGTGATATCCTCAAGAGCTCAATTTATTTAGCTTAACACAGAGATGGCTAAGGAGTGATTTGATTACAGTTTATAAGTACCTACACAGGGAACAAATATTCTAAAGCATACTCTTTAGTTAACAGAGAAAGGTCTAACATGATCCAATGGCTGGAAGTTGAAGCTAGACAAATTCAGGCTGCGGATAAGGCATACACTTTTAAGAGTGAGGGTAATTAACCATTAAAACAATTTCCCAGGCGTCATGGTGGATCCTCCCTCACTGGTGATTTTTAAATCTAGGTTGCATGTTTCTCTAAAACATGCTCTAGGAATTATTTTGGGGGAGTTCTCAGGCCTGGCCTGGGTTACACAGGAGGTCAGACTGGATGATCACAATGGTCCCTTCTGGCCTTGGAATCTATCACTCTATGAATCTTTGCTGCAAAAGTCTCCCTACATTCCATCTGCACTGAGCACACTCCAGCCCTGGTCCTTTCCATCCAAACTGAACATGTTGTACAGACCCACTGCCCTTCATCGCACTGAGCCTATTCCTAGCCCCACAGGCCCATGTGCCCTGAGCCTGCTCTCCTACCACACGGAGCCAGCCCCAGAAGCCCCCTGGATGGGACAGGACACACACAAAATGGATCCTCTTGGTTATTCCCATCAAAATATGCCATGGCCTGGGGGAAGGTGCCCTGTGTTGCAAGGCAGGAAACCATGAGCTCCTGTCTTCTACTGACTGGTGTTAATTCTTTGCACTCTACGGCTATTATTAATGAGCCAGCCCTTGTACATTACCTTAGATGAGAGGCAAGTGTCCATCCCACCAGTTTAACCAGAGTATCAGAGAGATTTTACAAGGTGACCTTTGGAAATGATCCCAGGTCTCTGATACGGCAGACCCCAATCTTAGCTACACGGCCTCCCATAAAGAATCTACCAAATCCAGGTGCTTGGCTAAGCCATCTGTGCAGGACTTAATTTGTAATGAAAGAGGTGCTGGGGCTCAAGCAATATTTTTACTTTCAAAAATGGCCAGAGATGCTGGGGCCATGAACTGCCAGGCCCAGAAGTGCCGGGGCTCTGAACTGCCAGGCCCAGAGGTGACAGGGCCATGAACTGCCAGGCCGGGGCTCTGAACTGCCAAGCCCAGGTACCGGGGCTCTGAACTGCCAGGCCCAGAGGTGCCAGGGATTAGCCCTGGCACAAATTAAGCCCTGCATCTGTGAAATGGGTGACTGCTAGTCTATATGGCTCATTACATAACAATGTTGCTCCATTAGATGAAGTGGTAAAGGTATGTGCAGCAATGCTGAAGGTCCAGGGATTAACTCCTGTTATTAAAGGGATTGTTCGAGTTGCATATACTAACATTTCTTTTTTCTTTTTTCCTTTATAACCCTGTCCGCCGCCCACCAAACCCCAGGAAATCACATAGAAAAAAATACACCTCTACCCCGATATAACACGACCTGATATAAGACGAATTCGGATATAACGCGGTAAAGCAGTGCTCCTGGGAGGCAGGGCTGCGCACTCCGGCGGATCAAAGCAAGTTCGATATAACACGGTTTCACCTATAACACGGTAAGATTTTTTGGCTCCCGAGGACAGCGTTGTATCGAGGTAGAGGTGTACATGTAAAGAACATTAAGGTTGCAAAGCCTAGTAGTCAGTAGTTAGGAAATGCCAGAATTAAGATTGTCCTTGCGCCGCTCATTCAGCCCCCTTGCGCAGCTACATTATGACATGCTCTTTGATTACACAATCACATGCTCCTTGTTGCTTCATTCTGGCATTTCCTAACTTTCACGTGCTTGACTTTGCAACTGTAATAATGTTTTTAACCTAGGTTTTAAGTGTGTAATTATTATATCGGGTGCAGAAATCTACC